CCACCGCCAGCGGGGCCCCCATCCCCGGCCCTACAAGTTGGGGGGCAAGGGGGGGGGAAAAGTTATGGGGGCTCCATGGGGCTCTATGGGTCCCCATAGGTCTCTATGGGGCTCTATAGGTCACTATGGGGTCTCTATGGGTCACTATGAGTCCCTATGGGTCTCTACGGGGCTCTACGGGGTCTCTATGGGTCCCTATGGGGCACTATGTGCCACCACCGCCAGCGGGGCCCCCATCCCCGGCCCTACAAGTTGGGGGGCACGGCTTTATGGGGGCTCGATGGGGCCTCTATGGGTGCCTATGGGGCTCTATGTGTCCCTATGTGTCCCCATGGGGCTCTATGGCTCTCTATAGGGCTCTATGGGTGCCTATCAGTCCCTATGGCTCCCTATGGGTCTCTATGGGGTCCCTATGGGTCCCTATCGGTCTCTATGGGGTCCGTATGAGGCTCTATGGGTCCCCATGGGTCTCTATGGCTCTCTATGGATCTCTATGGGGCTCTATGGGTCTCCATGGGGTCTCTAAGGGTCCCTATGGGTCGCTATAGGACTCTATGGGTCCCTATGGGTCTCTATGGGGCTCTACAAGTCCCTATGGGTCACTATGGGTCTCCATGGGGTCTCTATGGGTCTCTATGGGTCCCTATGAGGCTCTATGGGGCTCCATGGGTCTCAATGGGTCTCCATGGGGTCTCTAAGGGTCCCTATGGGTCCCCATAGGGCTCTATGGGGCTCTACAGGTCCCTATGGGTAGCTATGGGTCTCCATGGGGTCTCTATGCATCTCTATGGGTCCCTATGGGGCACTATGGGTCTCTATGGGTCCCTATGGGTCTCTATGGGTCTCTATGGGTCCCTATGGGGCTCTATGGGTCCCTATGGGGTCCCTATGGGGCTCTGTAGGGTTTCTATGGGTCTCTATGGGTCCCTATGAGGCTCTATGGGTCCTTATGGGTCTCTATGGGTCCCTATGGGGTCCCTATGGGGCTCTATGGGTCTCTATGGGTCTCTATAGGTCCCTATGGGTCCCTATGGGGTCCCTATGGGGCTCTATGGGGCTCTATGGGTCTCTATGGGGCTCTATAGGTCCCTATGGGTCTCTATGGGTCCCTATGGGTCCCTATGGGTCTCTATGGCCCCCTATGGGGCTCTACAGGTCCCTATGGGTCGCTATGGGTCTCCATGGGGTCTCTATGCATCTCTATGGATCCCTATGGGGTCTCTATGGGTCCTTATGGGTCTCTATGGGTCTCCATGGGTCCCTATGGGGCTCTATGGCATCTCTGTGGGGTCCCTATAGAGCTCTATAGGGTTTCTACGGGTCTCTATGGGTCTCTATGAGGCTCTTTGGGGTCCCATGGGTCGCTATGGGTCTCTATGGAATCTCTATGGCTCTCTATGGGGTCCATATGGGTCTCCATGGTTCTTATGAGACTCTATGGGTCCTTATGGGACACTATGGCTCTCTATGGGGTTTCTATGGGTCTCTAAGGGTCACTATGGAGTCCCCATGAACCTCTATGGGTCCCTATGGATTTCTATGTGTCTCTATGGGCCACCACCGCCAGCGGGGCCCCCATCCCCGGCCCTACAAGTTGGGGGGCACAGCGTTACGGGGGCTCAATGGGGCTCGATGGGTGCCTATGGGTCCCTATGGGTCTCTATGGGTCCCTATGGGTCTCTATGAAGCGCTGTGGGTCTCCATGGGTCCCTATGAGGCTCTATGTGGCTCTCTATGGGTCTCTATGGGTCTCTATGGGTCTCTATGTGTCCCTATGGGTCTCTATGGGTCCCTTTGGTCCCTATGGGTCTCTATGGGTCGCTGTGGGTCCCTATGGGTCTCTATGGGTCCCTTTGGTCCCTATGGGTTTCCATGGGTCTCTATGGGTCGCTATTGGTGTCTATGGGTCCCTATGGGTCGCTATGGGTTGCTGTGGGTCCCTTTGGTTCCTATGGGTTTCTATGGGTCTCTATGGGTCCCTACGGGTCGCTATGGGTCCCTTTGGTCCCTATTTGTCCCTATGGGTCGCTATGGGTCCCTATTGCTGTCTATGGCTCCCTATGGGTCTCTATGAGTCTCTATGGGTCTTTATGGGTCTCTATGGGTTCTCTATGGGTCCCTATGGGTCTCCATCGGTCCCTATGGGTCGCTATGGGTCCCTATGGGGCTCTATGGGTCTCTATGTGTCTCTATGGGTCTCTATGGGTCCCTTTGGTCCCTATGGGTCTCTATGGGTTTCCATGGGTCTCTATGGGTCCCTATGCGGCTCGATGGCATCTCTATGGGGTCCCTATAGGGCTCTATAGGGTTTCTATGTGTCTCTATGGGTCCCTATGAGGCTCTATAGGCTTTCTATGGGTCTCTACGGCTCCCTATGGCTCTCTATGGGTCCCTATGGGTCTCTATGGGTCGCTATGGGTCCCTATAGGTCGCTATGGGTCCCTATGGGTCCCTATGGGTCGCTATGGGTCCCTATGGGTCGCTGTGGGTTGCCGTTCGTCCCCCCCACCTTTGGTGAACGCCACCCCATCGATGTCGGCTCCCCGCAGCCCCGCTTCGTTCAGCGCCGCCTCCACCAACCCCAGCAGCTTCTGGCGGTGATGGCGGCTGACGGGACCGGGAGCGAAACCTGAGCCGGAAGAGAAACGGCATCACGTGACCGGAAGCGGGCGGGGAGGGAGGGAGGGAGGGAGGGCAGTGGGGTTCAAAGGTTCCGCGACTTCCGGTGTCACCTTGTCCCGGCGGTGTGACGAACGTCGCCCTTTGGTTGCTGAGCACCCGGCCGTCCCGAATCACCCCGGCTCCCACTTTGTTGGCCGAACCTTCCAGGCCCAGCACCGTCGGCATGGCGGCGGCTTCCGCTCTCTCCTCCTTTTCCGGTAGCCGGGGAGGAGGGACTTCCGGTTCTGTTTGCGCGCCCGGAGCCAGCGTGCAGCTCTAGGCCAAGCTACTTCCGGTGCCTTTCCGAGCCGCTTCGGCTGCGCTCTCTTACGTCACTTCCGGTAGGCCTGCAACGCGCGCTCTTTTAGGCTGCGCCCCTACGTCACTTCCGGTAGGGCTTTGAACGCGTGTTCTTTTCCCCACCAACCCCAGGACTGTCGAGGGACAACTTCCGGTGCTGCTCTGGGCCGCGTCCGCTCGCTCGCCACACTACTTCCGGTGCAACCCACCTCGCTTATACCTGAGTTCCTTCGGGACCGCTTCCGCTGTTTCTCGCGGCCACTTTCGCCTTCACGCAACACAACTTCCGGTGCGCTGTGGTGGCGCGCAATTCCCTGACCAATCAGAGCGTTGCTAAGAAACAACTTCCGTTGCCGCTCAGGGCCGCTTTCGCTCCCTCGCCACACTACTTCCGGTGCAACCCACCGCGCTCATCATTCGCCCAATCCCTGCGTTTTTTCTGGACAACTTCCGTTGCTGCTCAGCGCCACTTCCGCCACTTCGCTTCATGACTTCCGGTATAGTCCGTTCCTTTCATTCCTCGCCCAATCTCTGCATTCTTTCTAGACAACTTCCGGTGCTGCTCAGGGCCGCTTCCGCCCGCTCGCCACACTACTTCCGGTGCAACCCACCGCGCTTATCCCTGGAATCCCTGCGTTGTTTCCGTACCGCTTCCTCTCTTACTCGCGGCCACTTCCGCCTTTAGGGCAACACCACTTCCGGTGCGCTCTCGCGGCGCGCAATTCCCCGACCAATCCCGACGTTGCTAAGAAACAACATCCGTTGCTGCACTGCGCCACTTCCGCCCCTTCTTATCATGACTTCCGGTGCACTCCTCTCCGCTCATCCCTCACCCAATCCCTGCGTTCTTTCTGCACAACTTACTGTGCCGCTCGCTTCCACTTCCGCCCTTTCCCATTACCACTTCCGTACCCCTCCTCCGCCGTCTTTCATTCCCATTCCAATCCTCTCGTCACGGCCAGACAACTTCCGGTCAGCTTCACAGCCACATCCGGTACACCGCAGCACAACTTCCGGGGCAGTTTTACGCGCGCGCTCCTCCACCAATCCCTGCCTTCCTTTGGAAAAACTCCCCGTGCTCCTCGCAGCCACTTCCGCTCTGCTTCTGCACCACTTCCGGCGCCGCTCATTCCTCGACCCTCCGTTGCTTGGCGACGACTTCCGGTGCGTCGCAGACCGACTTCCGGTATTCGCCCCCATCCCCCCATGCTGCTCCGAACCCCGAAAGCTCCAACTTGCGCTTCCCGCCGCCGCGACTTCCGGTCATGGGATCAAGAAGCCTCTGAAGGCCGACTTCCGGTTCTTTCAAGCTCTTTATTTCCGGTTCCGGGCGGCACCGGCCGCTCCCACTTCAGCTCCGCTTCCGCTGTTCCCCCGCCGCTATTTCTCCCGTTCTGCCGCCATTTTCCGCTGTCTTCACTCTCGACTTCCGGTACTCCGCTCGCCTATTCGCTCTCTTCCGGGTTTTGGACGCTGTTCCGGTCTATGCCAGCGTCACTTCCGGCGTGTCGTTCATCCTTTCATAGTTTTCAGCTCCCCATCGGCGTTTTGTTCCACTTCCGGTCCGTGCAAGCCTCACTTCCGGTGTGCTGCTCACCCTGGCCGACATTTTGTCGTTTGGAGCGCGAGTTCCTGGCTGTACGTCAACTTC